AAGTTGCTTACAAATAATGCTATAAATGGGAAATAACTTTGATTTTCGAAAACTTAAAAAGAAAATTAAAACCAAGGGGGATTAATAACTTCGGTACTGCACCCCATCAAGTGAAAGTTTTTTTTTAGCAAACCATAGTGAGTTTTTAAAGCTTTACGTTGTTAACGTTACATGTTACATGTTTTGTGGCCTTGTATTTATTTATTTATATATTTGCCAACGGATTAACACCTATAATACAGTTTGATTAGAAGGACAGTTTGAATTTGTCGTAAGTACTATAGTTATTTTCTTAAATGTAAACGTTGGTTTTTGGTACTGCTACTTTTCCTTAGAACCGGTGGTAGCAGTAAGAATCATTTTTACGTACAAGCACATTACTATTTACAACTAGCCATTTGACGACACTATAAAAACTTTCAAATAATTGTTTTGTTTGCAATGTTAAAGCGTAGGAAATAATGTCCCCTAATAAATAAAAAAAGAAAATAGGAAATAAAGCCCCTAATTCAATTCTGTATTTGTTTGTGTATGCTGTCTGTTGGTAACGCATTAATGTCCTTATTTCTCAGTGTTTCGTGGAAAAACAAGATGTTTTAAGCATTAACATTAAGCACCTTTGTTAATGAAAATTTCAACCCGAATAAAGTGTGCAGTAGTGAGGTTGAGGTAGTATTATAACTACTTTTAACCAATGTGAAAAGTAACTTTCAATTACAGGCCTACCTTAGGGCTATGCCTCATAGATCTATAAAGCAATTCCTTTTATCATTAGATATAAAATATGGACTAACACGATCGGGGGACATATAATTGTGAAGCATTCGTTTTGGCTTTGAAACTGTCAGATATTGTAGCCTATTTGCGAAGGTTTATATGTATTCCTATACAGTAAATAGTTTTGCCAGCATATCAGGAAATATTCATATGCAAACCAACTCCTGTTCTGAAAATAAGAAGGTTTTAACTTACTACAAGATTCCCGTACGTAGAACGGGCAAACAGCTAGTAAATTATTTAAAAAATTGGAAGGACTAGGGGTTGTAGGAATTTCACTAAAATGGTTTCAATCATATTTAACTAATAGGAAACAGTTTGTAGAAATTAGACACTTGAACAATCATAACCAGATGGTTACAACAAGATCACAGTTGAGAACAATTATACATGGTGTACCACAGGGTTCTATTTTGGGTCCTCTACTATTTCTTACATATATCAATGGATTACCCAATGTTATTTCAAATTTAACAAGAAATACCATCTGTTTATATGCCGATGATTCTAATCTTCTTGTAAGCGGAAAATCTGTTCATGAGATAGAAACATCTGCCATCGATAACTTGATGAACATCAATAATTTTTTTTCAGATCATCAGCTATTACTAAATCTTTCCAACACTAATTTTACACGCTTTAATCTAAAAACTAATACCAACTCAGATTACCCAGCACTAAAATTAGCCGGTGAATATATACAAATTATTGAGAACACTAAATTTCTAGGGTTATACATAGACAGTAAATTAAGCTGGAATTATCATATTGATCATGTGGCAAATCGAATGTCAACAGGCCTATTTGCACTTTATCGATTATCAAAATTTTGTAAACTTGAATCACTAAAATTGGTTTATTTTGCTAATATTCACTCACATTTATCCTTTGGTATAAGTATTTATGGAGGAACATCACAAGCTAATTTAGACATAATTTTAATGCTCCAGAAAAGAGCAATCCGCATTATGTTAAATTTGGATTGGCAAGATTCTGTTAAGGAAAAATTTGAAGAACTAGGCATAATGACTGTATATAGCCATTATATCTATCAATGTATATTATATACTGTCCAAAATTCAAATAATGTCTCACTGGTAGGAGATTCTCATCAATACTGTACCAGAAACAGAAATAACTATGCAACACCTTCCCATAGATTAAGATTTTTTGAAAAAAAAAATCCAATGTATATGGGTATAAAATGTTACAATGCTCTTCCAACAAAATTAAAGGACTATACAAAAACTACAAAATTTAAAAATAAGCTAAAAATGTACTTTTTAACTAAACCCCTGTACTCAAAGAATGAATATTTCCTTCTACATAATATATTAGAATAAGAAAATTTTCAATAGTGATTATGTCTTGTACTTTTTTAGGATTAAGTATTATGATTTTGATCCAATGTAATGACGCCATTCGTGCACATGTTTGCAAATTATGAATAAAGTTGATTTCATATGCATAGATTTTCCCTGTGATGCTCAAGAGCTGAGAAAAAAGGTTTTAAAGAAACATGCTTGCCTATTAATATAGATAGTCAGTTCAAGTGGATAGCTTGACCTTGAAGTTAATGATGGCTATTTCTTTGTTTTGCTTCCATTTATTTTTGTTAAATAAAACGCGATGTTTCAGAAACAATAATGGGGGAACCTTCTGCATATAAAAAATAGTCAGAAATAGTTACTTACTTTACTTTCCGTGTCCGGACTGACTGATTAAATCATCTTCTTCCAAAATCTAGCAGCTTGAATAGCCTTGTCATTTGCTCTAAAAATATCGTCCTCCAGACAAATTGTGCCCATGTCTCTGCACAGTAGAAGATGCTCCGGGGTTTGGGTGAGACCACAATCACACTTGTCTTCATCTACATATCCCCACTTCTTGAGGTTACTTTTGCACCTTGAGACGCCCGTCTTTAATCTTGAGTTTTTTTTTTTTTTTTTTTTGAGACCAAACCCTCAAAAAACTCAAGTTTGTGCTTTTCATTTGAAAAGTAGACAAGCAAGGAGGAAGCTAAAGATCGTTTGGGGTGGCGTAACCTTGGAACACTCAGAGCAGCCTAGGTACTTGGGAGTCAAACTGGATAGGACACTAACGTTCAGAAACCACTGCAAAGAGCTTAAGGGTAAGGTTGGTGCCAGGAATAACATCCTTCGTAAACTGACTGGGTCAACATGGGGTGCCTGTCCTGAGGTATTAAGAACAACAGCTATGGGCCTATGTTTTTCAGCTGGTGAGTATTGCGCTCCGGTTTGGGGAGCTTCGACTCATGCTAAGGAGGTTGACGTTTCTCTCAACGAGACGGTCAGACTTGTAACAGGCTGTTTGAAACCAACCCCCATTCACAAAGTATATGCAATGGCGGGTATAGCACCTCCCCATATTAGAAGACAAGTGGCATCTGAAAAAGAAAAACTGAAGCAGGAAACAGATCCAAGGCACCCAATGTTCAACCAAGTAATTGTGCCACAACGTCTACGTTCTCGAAGGAGCTTTCTAAAAAGATGCAGGCCATTGGAGACCAATGCAGAAACCAGGCGACTCTCCTTATGGGAGGAGGAAATCCCCCTAATATCGAAGTTTACGGCAAAGGAAGAAATGGCACCTGGGCACTGGCTTCCGTATGATGAATGGCGGGCTCTCAACAGATTAAAGACGGGCGTCTCAAGGTGCAAAAGTAACCTCAAGAAGTGGGGATATGTAGATGAAGACAAGTGTGATTGTGGTCTCACCCAAACCCCGGAGCATCTTCTACTGTGCAGAGACATGGGCACAATTTGTCTGGAGGACGATATTTTTAGAGCAAATGACAAGGCTATTCAAGCTGCTAGATTTTGGAAGAAGATGATTTAATCAGTCAGTCCGGACACGGAAAGTAAAGTAAGTAACTATTTCTGACTTTTTTTTATATGCAGAAGGTTCCCCCATTATTGTTTCTGAAACATCGCGTTTTATTTAACAAAAATAAATGGAAGCAAAACAAAGAAATAGCCATCATTAACTTCAAGGTCAAGCTATCCACTTGAACTGACTATCTATATTAATAGGCAAGCATGTTTCTTTAAAACCTTTTTTCTCAGCTCTTGAGCATCGCAGGGAAAATCTATGCATATGAAATCAACTTTATTCATAATTTGCAAACATGTGCACGAATGGCGTAGATTTCTGACGATAGACTAACTAACTATTTCTGACTATTCTAACTATTTCTGACGATTCTGAATAAAAGAATCGTCAGAAATAGTTAATTATACAGTGCATTTTAACATATTAAATACTGAAGAAAAACAATGTAAAATGTTCTATTTTTATTTACTTATTTATTTTTTTTTATGTAACATTTATCAAAGGTAGTATGCAACAATTCTCCCATAGAAGCACCCGGTAACTAAACTGACACTTCAACGGCCAGAAACTGTTCAAGCAGTCCAAAATTATCGTAGTCGATGATGAAATGACCGAAATTTAACTCTATTTGTCCCTGCCACCCACCGCTATTTGCTCTACTGAAAATTACCACTGTGCTAGAAAATATAAATACTACCAGAGGCAGCACTATCACACACACGGAATCTGCATCTCTGCTAGAAAAAAAGTTAAAATGCTGTGCTGTAAAAGTTTGTGATTTTGGTTCTCAACTAGAAAAATCCACCAGCTCGTTGCTTCATTTCATTGCCCTACTGCCAATGTACTGTACTGAGTACAATATAATTAATTGAAGGTACGACGTACTCTTACTCTACCCCTAGTACAAATGGCGGCCAATTCTCTCAAAATTCTCTTATAAGCACTTAAGTTGGTAGCAAATGGGCCCTCTCTAACACAGCTGATGCCTTTGCAAGGTTGCCAGATCGAACAGCAACAAAGTGATGGTACCGTTTTTCATATATCTTAAGTGGGAAACGTGTTTAAATGTATATTATTAATCAATATGAAGTAGTTTATTTTCTTGCCACCGAAAAATAATCGTACTTTATGACAAAATTATCGAACAATTTAGCAAAATTATTTTTTATGGGGAAGGAGCAAAAGTATCGTACGAATACGATAATTATCGTACCCCTGGCAACACTGTGTTCAAGTTGAATCCGGTCGAAGGTCATTCGCCCGTGACGATGTGACTAGTCCCCCTAAAACCGGGCCAGACCATTCGGCGGCCAATCCAACCGAAGCCGAACTAGAGGGAGTCCTACTGTATAAATAATTGCACCACTATATGCATGAATAGTTTGCATACATTTTATTTACATAACGAATAATGAACATAAAACATGACATAAACAAAACATAACATTTTTACCTACGACTTTTTTTTAGGGAGCTGTTCAGTTCTTAGAATTGAAAAGTTTCACATAATAGCATTGTTTACTTACATAACAGTATACTTTTACTAAACAACACGGGTAACGGACCAATGAGGTTCAAGGATTGAGAGAGAAGAAGTAAAATTGTAATGCTTCGAACTTCAACTAATCAGCTGCTCAGGCCAATTTAATTGTTGAGTGGTGCAATTTGTGTTTGGTACAATGATTCGTTGCCTCACTGTCAGTGGCCATGAGAGGTAAAGACGAAAACATAACCTTTCTTAGAAGTAATGAGTAGTGATAGTTAGTAATTAAAACACTGTTGTAAATAAAGTTGTGTACGCAACTCGCGTAAATAGTCTTAACGACACTGGTAGGAGTTTTTAAGGCACTCGCCAAGGCTCGAACCTTAAATTTTCAACTGATGTTAACACTATCTTTACGTGATCGTTGCGTAAACTACCATTAAACATCCAGAAATCAGCTGTTACATAAAAAAGTAAAGATCAAAGGAAATTGATTCACAGCTGTGGCTAAGTTGACGTCATATCAGTACAAACAAGTTTTAAATTGATCCACAAAGAAGGGATCAAAAAGACTTTTATGTTTCACAGTTTCAATGACTTTTTTCAAATGGCAATGTAAAATTAAATACATCCTCCTTTTAAACTGATAAATTGCATAAGGTGTTCTGGGGCTCTGACTCCAACAGAAACATTTTTTTTAATCCATTGGTGCAATTTTTACATTGTCTCACTCCACAAAACTGACATTTTCAATGTTTTCACTTTTATCAACTTCACAATCTGTATCAACTTTCACATCTTGCTCTTGATCCTGTTTTTCTGTCAAGATTGGAGCTGGTGGAGATGTAGGCAGGCTGGATTGTATTCTATCTGGTAGTAAATGAGCGATGGCGTCTACTATGGCATTTTGGTCTAGATAAGACAGTTCCTGAAAATAAATACTAATTAGGAAACTAAATACACTCTAAGAAACCATGTAAATCACTGAATTGAGACAAATAAATGGTGTATCCATTTGTTACAGTATTCTTTGAAGGGAGTACCATGTCTAAAGATTTTAATTCTTAAAGATCAATCTACTTGTTTGGCATACAAGTTAAAGATGGAGCAAAAGAAACTAGAGGTGTGCTAGTTTGAAATTTTTGATTGGGCCAAGCTCAAGCCTCGAGCTTTCTCCGAGATTAATTTAGATAATTACAAATAATAAGTTATTCATTGTGACCCTTAGTTTGAATATATTATTGATAAAATAAAAGGATTACCTTATCCAACCACAGTTGCTGGTGTGACAACTATTTTCGTTCCTTAGAACTTTGACAGGTCATTGTATGCAACCACATCATCAATGTATCTTAAATACATTAATGACATTAATGAAATGTTTAATTTCTGTATTTATGCTAGCAGTTACCCGGCGTGCGTTGCTGCGCTTAACAACTATTATTTTAAATGGTAATTTGTTCTTTACGATGAATACCTTATAAAATTGTATAGGTACCAAAAATAAAAAAATAATATTTTACTTAATTGCCAGTGGATAAACAATGTTTTTTTTTGTTTTTTCATTAGGTGTATAAATATACAGGGTGTCCCGGAACTCTCTACCAATATTTTAGGGCATTGTTCCTGGGTAAGAAACATATCTAAATATCATATTTAAATTGTCCGGAAGTCCTTAGTTACTCAGATAGCTGCCATTTTGTTTTTTTCACTTATTAATTTTTTTCTGAAAATTGGTTAAACATACGAAGTTGAAACTTTGCACAAACATTTATGACAACTAGACAAAGCTACAAAAAAATTATGAAGATTTTTCAAATTCATAAAACAAAATGGCGGCTGTTTAAAATTTTGTTTCTTAAATTACTCGAAAACGGTTGATGTTACAAACATTTTGTTTTATGAATTTGAAAAATCGTCATAATTTTTTTGTAGCTTTGTCTAGTTGTCATACATGTTTGTGCAAAGTTTCAACTTCGTATGTTTAACCAATCTTCAGAAAAAAATTTATAAGTGAAAAAAAACAAAATGGCGGCTATCTGAGTAACTAAGGACTTCCGGACAATTTAAATATGATATTTAGATATGTTTCTTACCCAGGAACAATGCCCTAAAATATTGGTAGAGAGTTCCGGGACAACCTGTATAAGTTTTTTGGCATACCTACCACCACGTGAGCACACAACATGCAGCTGTCCGTGTGAAAATCATGCATTTTCTAAATTTAAATGATATATCAATGTATGTAACTGCAGTGTAGACATAGTTTGTTTTTAACGTAATTTTTTTTGTCTACTTTTGAAACTGAATTTTTTAAGCCTAGGTTTTTTTTCGTTTAACCTTCTTGTTATTGCAGTGTTCACCTTATTCTCATTACTCTTATGTGTAAATCAATATTCAATCGAGATGTGTTATTTTATTTTTTTATCATAATAAAATTAACTTGGACCAAAATATTAGGGATAGAAGGGTCCAAAAAAAATATTCCTGATTTTTGGAACGGGATTACATTTGATTCGGGAATTTTTCGGGACGGGATTTGATCCGATCATTGGCAATCTTGCCGCTTCGCGAGCGACGACAACGCCGCTATCGCGAGAGATGTTCACAAAAGTTCTGCGAACGCAGGAGGCAAAATCATACCGACGATCGCGCCGTGACCGCGAGTCATACCGACGATCACGCCGTGATGATCGCGAAGTCATACCGACGATTATACCGTGACCGCGAGTCATACCGACAATCACGCCGTGATCGTGGAGTTATACTGACGATCGCGCCGTGACCGCGAGTCATTTCAACCGCAAGTTTCTATACCGCAGTCACAAGTTTCTATACCTGTAAATTTGTACCCATTTTTTTTGTTTTTGTAGATCAATGACACAAATTGATTTTGTTTTTCTTGTTTGGTAACTCAAGATTTTCTTTTAATGTACAGGAATAAATCCCTTTCCGTCCTGCATCGAAAATTGGGAAGGAAATAACAATCCCGTCCCGTCCCGAACCAAAAATTCAATCCCGTCCATCCCTACAAAATATATCTATATATTTTTTTCCTTTCTACTGGTTAAATTTAGTGTAAATGCCAACCAAAAAGACAGTTACCATTGTTGTAAAGTGTAATTTTAGACTAGTGAATTTATATAACAATGTTTATTGTAAATAAAGCATTTTTTTCATTTTATTTCATTCATTTTTCATTTTACATAAACAACACACCTGTTGTTGCAGCTGATATGTAGAGAGACCTAAATGCTGTGCTACTTCGCTAGGCTTGTACACAGCATGGATGCATCTCTGCATGAACGGAACCAGCTGATCTCCAAAACACATGCAAAACCTGGAGAAACTCTCCTTTTCTGGTTTGGAGAGGGCTTGTTGCTCCTACAAATTCAAAAACTTCAGTGAAGATTCACCTTTATCAATTTATTCCTAATGAAAAAAATCTATCTAAGTTATATTTTTTCAAATGTTTAATCATCTTCTTAACATTTTGAGGTAATCTACTTTACAGTAATGTTGGTTTTTACTCAAATAAAGCGTTAGAGTTTGCAAATGGTTATTCATTATTTCAAAAATTTATATGAGTAAAAACCAACATTACAGAATAACACAAATAAACAAGTTAAATTTCATAGCAACTAGGACAGCTGATCAAAGTTGTAATATCAAGAATATTAGACATCATCACAAAGTAGTGTACGCAACTCAAGTAAATAGTCTCTACGCAATCGTTGCGTAAACCACTATAAGCTAACCTTATAATTTTATAGTTTCGTCAAACCATAGTGCCTCAAGAACGCTTCATAAATTTGATTACACCTATTAAAATGTTTGTCCTTCATCTTAAAAACACAAATTGAGCGTTTGTTTCACACAAATTTTTAACTGATACACACTTAAGAGTAAGGATTAGTAATAAGTTGCAAAATGACACATTTTTGAGGTGAAACTCAAAAAGGAATCAACCTATCCCATCAATTCCACTTGAAGCGTCTTTTACCACGGCCGCCTTTAACTCCAGGCTGCGGCCTTCGAACTGGCAACGTCGCAAGTGGTGTTGTAACAGCTGTTTTGTTTGGAAGCAGCTAATGGTATTTTTGTATTTACGAAAGATTGGTTCCTGGACTATGACAATACAGTATTGACTTTGCTTAAAAATGTACAGATATAGATTTTAATTCATATTGTTTGGGTTTCAGTTCTGTATGTTTTATTTTCAATATTTTAATAAATTTATGTTCATAAATTTAAATTTAAATCAATAAAGTGTGAATCTATGTGTCTGTATGCCGATGACTCTAATGTTTTGTTTTCAGGAAAATCCAATTCAACTATTGAAAAATCCTCAAACAGGAGTCTTCTCTCTATAAAAAGTTTTTGGATGAAAGAAATCTGCTTATCAGCACAACAAAATCAAATCTAATATCCTTTTCACCTAAAAAGTCAAAAATAGCATTTGAACCTAATATTTTTATAAAAACAGACAAAATTGATCAGGTAAACCAAACAAAATTTCTGGGACTGGTCATTGATGAAAATCTATCTTGGGATAATTACATAAACTATGTAACTTAGTAAATAAATTATCATCTGGCGTTCATACCTTGCGGCTGATGTCTAAGGTTTGCAACTTGGAAACTCTTATGATAATCTATTATTCTTTATTTCATTCCCACATATCTTATGGAATCGCCATTTACGGAGCAACAACTCAGGAAAATTTGGATAGAATACTTATAAAACAAGAAAAAGCTATTAGAGTGATCATGAAATTAAAAAGAACAGATTCAGTTAAAAATATCTTTCCTGAATTGGGTGTGTTAACAGTTTACAGTACAGTTTGTATATTTATGAGACAATTATTTTTGCAAAACAATTTCATTTATTAACCGCCGCAAGTAAATGTAACACACGCTTTCAAATTAACCTTCCTAGACATAATTTAGAATTCTACACCAAAAAACCTTCATATACAGGATTAAAATTTCTTCAGAAATTACATTTCACTTAAAAAAGAAAATAATATAAACAGATTCAAAAGCCAACTAAAAGACTTATTGATAAGAAACCCATTTTATTCTATCATAGAATTTTTAAATTGTAATTTCGAAACGTTCATTTGAATTCCAGATACTACCTAGTTATACTCTGATGTAATCGATTTTGTGATTGGTTTAAGTAATAAAACTCATTTTTAGTTTTACTATATAGATTCTTTGTAATGAATGAATTTAATTATTTAGTTTATAATTTTTTGTTTATGTTAGTTTAATGACGCTATTTAAGACATATTGTCTAAACTTGAATAAAGAATATTTGATTGATTGATTGATTGAATTAATGAGCTGATGTCACCTGTCTGCCATGTTATCTTCTGGGACGTCTGTCACTGAACAACACCACTTGCGATGTTGTCAATTCTACAAGGCCGCGGCCTGTAGTTAAAGGAGGCCGTGCTTCTACGTATAGGTGAGCCTCTCCAACCAAGCTCAGCTTCAGTCAGATGTACTCCTTATGAGTTGCATATTGAAGATCGAACAAGGCCCGATTTGAAACCTTGATCTACAACGCTGTCTCCTAACCAAGGAGATAACTCTTTACACCACTCAGTTATTGGTAAAAAACTAACAGTCTAACACACTGACAACACTGGTAACCAAATGTCTAGATATTCAAGAGAGCAGCAGTAAAACATCTTGTCAACATTGAAACTCTAAGTTGAACCCAATTTACCTGTCTGTAGAAGGAAAGGACAGTTCGAGCAGCCGAGGTAAGAGACTCCTGCAGCTGATTGGTGACATTGTCTACACAAGCCAGTGGAGCACAGAGTCTCAGGTTGTTGAGACCTGTCAGCAGATTGTTGCAGTACTCAGCTAGCGGGTAGAACTCCAACAGACACTCTGGAGGCTGCTCCTGTAAAATTTCAAAACTCATATAAAGATAACGGAAGGAGTTTCATTACCTCATGTAGTCAAAACACAGCAATAAAAAGTAGGGGTGTTCACAGGTTCCCAATATTTTCGGGTACCATGATTTCAGAAGATGTTAACAATTTCGCCTTGACTGCAGTAGAGGTTCTCGATTTCACCGTGACCGCAGGAGAGATGATTTTACCACAGTTGTGGGGGACTATGGCCCATATATTTTACACCAAGAATTACTTCTAGACATTCATCGAAACATTGAATTTCTACACTACTAACTAACCTGTTTAGTGCTGGCATTAATCTTCTGTGAAGGTAAAACGCTTTTGTTTTGAGTCTGATTCTTTGGCAGCGTGAACTTGTCCATATCTGCCTCAAACTTCTTGGTAGCCTTGCGCACAGCTGTTTCAAAGTTTTGTTGCACGGTTTTCACAAATATAGGAGCCACTAGAGCTCGGAAGTCAGCACCTACTCTGCTGAAAGATAGGCCGAAGTACATGCATTGCCCCAGCAACGAGGCGAGTGAAGATCCCACACCTCGAGATAGATCATGCTCCAGAGTGGTGATAAACTGGGAGACCTGCAATAGAACATTATATTTTGATGAGTTTTTAAACATTAGAAATAGTTTTGGAGTAAAAAAAATTTACATCTATATATTTAATACACAGTTGTAACACTGTTTTCTCAGTCATTACTGGACCGATCTACAAGATTTATGTCTCAAATTAAAGGGGATAGTGTGTAGATTTGCCGAACTTCCTTAGAATTTACGTTTTTTCTAAGGGCTACGACCTACAGCCCTTTAAAGGTCGAGTCAATACAATTCTTATTGAAGAATATAATACACAGTTTATAAATTATTCGTCAGCTGTTTAATGTTTGTCAGACATTTGTTATTATTTTTATAACCTCACTTTCAGTATGCAATTATTAAACTTGGAGTTTCTGTTTATAAACACACAATTTTGATCAAGGAAAGTGTATTTGTTAACTAATTTTTGAAATGTTTTAGTTTTCCTGCAAAGTGATCTGAAGGAAAGTGGTAATTGAGTTTAAGTTTGAGTATGGAATGTGAAATAATACCCATAGTAGGGAACGGAAACTTATTGTTTTGATCAATATAATTTATTCTCTACGGCCACCAGAATAATCTTGCAAGTTGTACATATAATTGATGGCAATGTTTACTCGGGTCATTACAGCGTTAGAAAACTTTATCATTAACCCCAGGATGTGAAAAGTACAAAAAGAAAAAGAAAAGGTAATCATTAACCAGGGGTAAAGAAACATACAGAAAGAAAAAACACGTAGAGAACCATCAAACTACTGTCGGGGAAATAAATATGTGCACTCGAGTTTGAGCCTAAATATCTCTGAGATGAATTATCAGATTTTGTTGAAACAAAAATTAAATGTAAGTTTGTTTAAATACATTTTACGTGGTAACAATTTAAAAATTTTCCGTTTACAAGAAAAATTTATATAGTTGAAAGATCCTAAAAAGTGCCGGTTTTTAAGGAACTCTGCACTAACACTGAACTTTAAAAATTAATTGTAAACAAACCACTGAGCCAATCTTTCTGAAATTTTTATGGCTTATTGGTAGGTTTATTGTTAACATTTCCATGCATTTTAAAATTTTTACTCACAATAGTTTTTATGCTGCTGTTAATTTTTAAAACCTATGCTAACATCGTTAATAAGACGCTAAAAATTTCGTTCAAAATACCATCGTGTTTGTCGTGACACAAGAAATAACACCAATATGATAGATTTATAATGCGAACAAAGGTGTTTTTTAAACAGATTTATATTTGTAAACAAAAATTTCTCCCGCGACTGGCAGCGGGCCGCCTGGTGTGCGTACGATATTTCCCAGCCGGGCGGGAGCGCGGCGAATCTGCGACGTTGCCGATGTGTACCTGGCCAGTGGCCACCACACTGACATTGCATGGGCAGCCTATTCACTCACGGCAAACAACTTTTAAAATCAATATTTAGCTTCTGCCTTAATTTTTCGATCGTTGGAAACATTTTTTGCACGTAAAAATCATATAAGTACCTTTGTATCGCTCCCACGGTAAATTGGTCCACATTTATCCTTGTTCCGATGTTAAAACAATTGGCCACATGATCATACACGGGATAACGTTTGTCACAGCACTTTTCTTTTTCCGCATGAAAGAAACAAATCGCACTAACTATCATCTGTATTTCACCATCGAAAAAATTCCGGCGAGGAGCCATTTTCGAATAGATGTTACCGACCGGTGTAAAAATCTAAGACGAACTGGTTAGCTTGGTTAGTCATCTCTCATAGCGACCATAGTTCAAGAAAGGTGGGAGCTAATGTTTACATTCCATTACTCATCGGATATTCCAGCTGAACGCAACACTTCCCGGAAAGGGTGATGACCGCTCCGATTTCTACTCTCAGTTGTATATTTAAAAGTGGCAAATTAAAGAAACCATAAAATAAATACTGGTGGAAAATATTTACTTGGCGTTTAGCTGTTATAATTTTTTAACTAGCTCAATCAACACAAAACAGTTGGCTTGTTGCTTGTAATACAAAATTAATTTTTCATACCACCATAGTTAACTTATTATAATGTATTTGTTTCATGACTAGTTAATTAGAATATATTGTTAGTAAATTTATGTAAATTTCAAACTAAATATTGATATACACAGTTGTTTGCCGTGAGTTAATACCGATGCAATGTCAGTGTGGTGGCCACTGGCCAGATACACATCGGCAACGTCGCAGATTCGCCGCGCCCCCGCCCGGCTGGGAAATATCGTACGCACACCAGGCGGCCCGCTGCCAGTCGCGGGAGAAATTTTTGTTTACAAATATAAATCTGTTTAAAAAACGCCTTTGTTCGCATTATAAATCTATCATATTGGTGTTATTTCTTGTGTCACGACAAACACGATGGTATTTTGAACGAAATTTTTAGCGTCTTATTAACGATGTTAGCATAGGTTTTAAAAATTAACAGCAGCATAAAAACTTTTGTGAGTAAAAATTTTAAAATGCATGGAAATGTTAACAATAAACCTACCAATAAGCCATAAAAATTTCAGAAAGATTGGCTCAGTGGTTTGTTTACAATTAATTTTTAAACTTCAGTGTTAGTGCAGAGTTCCTTAAAAACCGGTACTTTTTAGGATCTTTCAACTATATAAATTTTTCTGGTAAACGGAAAATTTTTAAATTGTTACCACGTAAAATATATTTAAACAAGCTTACATTTAATTTTTGTTTCAACAAAATCGGATAATTAATCTCAGAGATATTTAGGCTCAAACTCGAGTGCACATATTTATTTCCCCGACAGTAAAAAGGTAAAGAGCAGTGATGGTGTTCAATGTGCTCTGGAAGTCCCTTCTAAAAAATTCCAATTTTTTTGAATTGGGTTCGTTAGATTGGATTTGTCAGTACTGCAAATCTATGAATTTTGAGTCAGAACAGACTAACTGGGACACAAATATTTTTTACTTATGTTGTCACAAGGGGAAGGTAAAATTAACTCCTTATCAACATTTTAAGTTTATGGAAAATCTTATCAACAGCGACTATAAAAAAAAGTATTGAGGGTCAAAAGAGACAAAAAACTATTTGAGTAAAATATAATACAAATCTGCATTTGAAATGGCCAGTTCTAAGTCTCACTTGAATCAACATCTTTCTGGTAGTGGTAGTCTACATAGTTTTAAAATCCACGACTCCTTTTCCATCGAATTGGACCGTTAATACCCTCTAACATTGAACAAAGTATGCCCAACTTTATACAACGTAAACACAGCTTTTACTCACAGTATGGGTAAAGATTCGTAAAATGCGACCAACTGCTGATGCGTGATTTACATGTAGGCTATGTCACTATCTTTATTCCATACAACAAATGTAATAAAAAAAAACCAGGAATATAGGAATATACTTGAGCAAATTATCTAAATAGCATAAATAGCTGCTTATTAGGTTATCAGCATCGCCCAGTTCGTATAGGCCTACTATTTATTTTTCAAATGAAACTCGAATTAATATAAAACATTCATTTGGTTAAAATAATATAGCCTATCGGTTTGATTAACATAAAATAGTTTATACAGATAAACTATCAGTTCTATTTCATGTAAAAAATTAAACAACCCCTAAATAAAATACAAAGATAAACAGTATTTGTTAATTATTATTTCTTTTATTGCTGACAATATTCCCGAGGCGGAGCACGGGCGGTTAACTAGTTATACTCTGAATATTGATGTTAAAATTATTGTTGTATTCCTTGAGCCACAGTAAACTCTTTCCCACTCAGGTAAGACAGCTATCCTTAAAATCTAGACCAGAGTGTACTTTTTACACTCATGAACTCAAAGTTTTGGTTAGTTAAAAGTAATTTTTTTAATTAACCATTATTATGTCTAACCAACCAAACCATTATATCTAAGGTTAAGATAATTTAAAAGTTCAGAAGTGACTGTTACCTTTTCATTGAGCCAGGAGTGGAAGATAGTGGACTCTGCTAGGGACAGTTGTCTAGGAGATAAGACTGGCTCTTCATCACTGAACACAGCTCGATATTGAGTCACAATGTTGAACAAATGGATTCGAGACAGCTCAATAGTCTTGGTAAGATGGTGAGCAGCTGGCAAACAACAGATTTGTATTTTCTATAATCAATTGAGTTTCAGGATGCATTCCAAGTGTCATGACGTCCAAAATATAATTCTTGAGCTGTCTCACATCATTGGACGTCGTGACATGTGAATGTAATGCAACACTCCCGAGTTTCATCAGTAGGTTATTGTTGATGAACAATAAACATATAGAATGGGGAAAAAATATTGAACGGTAGATAAAATAGAATTTTATCGTGTCCTCTAGATTGTTCAATCCAAGCTACAATTGTAAATTGTTTAATCCACACAAATTATGATTTGGCTTAACTTAAACTTAGCTGTTAATGCCTATCTGCATAAAATCAAAGCTTTCCTTCAATCTAAGTCAGTAAAAAAACTTGTTTCACTTTTCAATCATCACTTGAGCTCGTGAGTTAGTAAGTGGATGAAACTCTGTATCAAATTTCTAAGAAATTATAATTTTTATTAGGATTACAGTACTGTACTTGCTAACAGAGACATACAAGTAAATTTTTAAAAAATGTATGTACTATAGTAATGTCTAAAGAGAGCTAATTTGAGACTGAATTTAAGTCTCTGGGAAATAACTATAATTGTTTGAGGAAGGAAAAGTATTTTGAAAATTAGATTTCAGTAAGGTGGAATATGAAGAAAGAATGGCAAAGTCCAATTTACCATCATCATTAGGTATCTTGGCAAGTTCAGACTGAAGCCAAGAATCTCTGACTGAGAGGAATTTCAGTCTAAGTTCAGCCTCGGAGAATGTTTGCATGCGACGGAGATAACCAACCACCTGCAGACACCTCGGCAATTGTAGGTCGGTGCGGAGAGCAGCAATCAGCTGATTGAGGAGTGCCCACCACGCTGCGTCCACCTCTCGCACGATACTCTGGTGACAAAGGAAAGAGTAAGCGTTTATTCTTGTAAGTACTGTGACTTTGTTACTACAAGGTTGCAGTAACTGAGTGGATAGTTAAGAAGGTATCACAATGGAAAACCTTAGAAACAATGTTGTAGGTTTGAACTCAAGTGTTGATTGAATCAATTCATTGAAAACCAAAATAAGGTGTTTTATATTGGTCAGTTCTTCTTATATTGACACAAAGTAAAATTTGCTTCCTTAATTAAAATGTGCATGTAAATGTAAAGTTGTCACAACGACTCACAGCCACTATAGGTATGTCTCCATGTTTGGCTCCCAACCTCTTGACGTAGGCTGCAAGTTGCAGAGCTTCCTCGTAGTAGCCTTCTCTGATACATGTCTCCATCAGCTGAGGGATTTCCAGAACCTGCAATGTTATATATATATACATATATGTTTATAGCCTGCAACTAAGATGTAATTTCATAGATTTCCTTTTCAATAGTAAATTAAAAGATAAGAAAACACTTTATAAGATATAAAGTAGTTAAATTAGCTTTCTTAGGCATTTTATGAATCTATTTAGAACAAAACGTACTGGTTCACTATACCTACTCTTTAGTGTCTACACCAGTGTTTTTTTTTTTTATCTAAGCATCACAAACACATTTAAAGAAAATAAGTCTTTAGGCTACTCCTAAAATTGTTGTGGATATACCCAAGTCAAACCCGTACTTCTTGCAATGAAGTCAGAGATGTTGACCACTAGGCTAGCAACACACGCACATGGTGGCTTTACATTCAAGTCCAAGAATTACGGTTGCGCAGATGTTTGTCAAAGATAAGCTATAGGAAATATTGTAAAAATGAGTGCGTCTCTTTTGTGGGTTATAAGGGAAATGATATGTCAGCTATGAGGTAATCTAAACATATAGGCTAAAAGTAGTTCTATAGCCTACATTACATTGTTAAATTTGTTTTACAAATATTCTGAGCTTTATAATGAATTTTCCGTTTCAATTACATTCCAAAAACATTTAACTCTAGGAGAAGGTTAAAATGAAAATGTCAGAGGCCACTTTACACTTCCTCATTCTATATTTCATTCACTCCCCCTACCTGTAACAACTGAGCGTTGCGAGTAAGCGTCAGAGAATTGAGCCGCCGAGCAGTCTTGATCTCGGACGACGCCTTAGCAAACTCCTCACACCGAGAGGTCAGTCCAGGGACTCGCTCCACCAGCGAATTAAGACTTGTCTCTGCGTTGTTAAACTAAAAAAAATCTCTTGGGTGTATCTCTTGTGTGTAAAATCTCTTGTTTGCGTTGCAAAACAAATAGATTACAAGAAATATCAATGGTTATTAAGGTTGTTGATCAACATGTTTAGGATTCATTATAAAATTAGTTAACAATATATTTGTATAAGTTTATCAACTTAACATATTTCAAAGTTTAGGGACAGCTTAGTTTTAATTATGACATAAAAACCAAAGATTGTGTTATCGGTAAAAAATAATGTCCAGCCTATGCTATAGGCCATATTAACAGTCCAGGACCTCTTCCATTAATTCACTACCACTATTTAAATAAATTGTTTGTTACAAGTAGGTCCAAGCTAACCTAGCCCATTCTAAAATAACCCAATCCTAATTAGGTTGGGTAGATAATTATAGAATTTCAACCGGAATGAAAAGAAAAGGCCCAAGGTCTGGTAGCCTAGGGCTATATAAATCACAATATCTAGTGACACAAAGAGTGTATGCTCTTTAATTAATACTTTTAAAGATAAGAACAACAATGTAAAAAAGTACATAAAAATAATAGGCTTACCTGTTGGAATATCTCTCTGGAGCATTCTGCTGTGCGTATAAACGTCTTGTAGTTAGAAAATGCCAATTCCTGGGTTTGAGAAAGAACTGCACATTTTTCCTCAGCCAAACGGTCAGGTTCTTTTGCTGAATACATCAAAACAGATTAAGTGCAGGGCTGTAGTGATTTTTTTTAAATTACTGCAAAGTCTTTGTGAAATGATGATATTTTATTTTGAATTCACTAGTTATCAAAACAAGCTATGACGTTTTCTCATTCAATTTAACATTGTAATTAGGAGTCAAAACTGTACCTACTAAAACATGGAGTTCTTAGGCGTAGCAAACCCAGAAAGTACCAATAATTGTGGTATTTTAGTTGAAAATACAAAATTTAATCTCAAACTTTGTAAAACAAGTCTCCAAGGTAAACGCAGGATAAAAGAAATTGTACAAGAGTTTTTAAAAGTTATTATATTGTTCTTTTAACTTGTAATAGGACTATACATTTAATATGACATAGAATAATGTTTTCTTAGAACTAAAAACTAAACTCTAGTCTACTTACACAACTGTTCCACAGTGTAACCACCCAGTTTTGTTAAGTAGGCATAAAAATCTGGATTTATCTTCCATGATTCTGAAACAATTCATCATTATTGATAACATGTTTTTTGTGTCTACTGATATTTTTTTTTAATACTAGACCTAGCTTACAATGGACTGATTAAGTCAGTTTAGTTTGAATTGGTTTCACAAGCCAGACAGAACTAACTAATAGCCTACGCCTGCCACAGCAAACCTGCAGTCTAAGCCAATTTCAATTTGTCTGATTGAATTTTTACTACCAACTTTTTTTAAATTTTCAAAACCTTATAAGATTGTGTTTTAATTACACAATCATGCTGGTTTGTAAACTCATCAAGTTTATGAAGCCCTACACATTCATGCCAAATTTCATCAAAATCGGACCAAAATTAAGTTAGGCCTACCTACTTGAGTTGTCGTGTTCACAGACATATACAAAACAATTTAAACAAATAGTGTTTTCGACACAAAAGGTAAATTCAGTGGTGGCTGGTGGGTTGAAGTAGTGGGAGGAGGGAGGACGCCTAAAATTTTCTTTGAGAGGTTACTGATACCATAGAAAGGTTAAAAGTTAAAAAGGTTAAGTTACTGTATTCAAACGTTTGTTTAGGGCTACTTTTTTAAAATAAACTGTTTTATTCATACTCTACTTGCATAATTTGCAGAAATATGTTTTTTTATAGAATTCATTAGCATCACTGAACAACACTGATAGAGAAATAACAGTACAGTACAATATTAATTAATTAACACCTTGAATACCGGCGACACGATAAACATAGCCTCTACGAATCAATAAATACTATATTCACTTATTTTGACAGATAATATTGTGTTGACAGTCAACAGATTGTAGCACTCAGCGCTCATTGCGGCTACAGTAAAAACTAGTTCCAAACACCCTATATCTATTGCATTAGAGCCTGACGCAGCGCTGTGATTGGTCAAATTTGTTCATGCAGTTTATATGGGAGTATAGACTTATATTTAACAAGTCCCCATCATCATAGGCCTATTTATGTTAACTAGTGTACCTGTTGCTTTAATTTGACTAATTGCTAAGTATTGCAGGCATTATTTTAAAACAAATAACAGTCATAATTTCTGATGACTTTAAAAGATTCGACTCAATGATTATGGAAATACACTCAAGATGTACAACAGATCGATATAATCAACATTTCTTCTAAATATAATTTTCAAAAGCTGATCTTGGTTTTCTACTAATAGCCTTACTCATAGCCGCATTAGGTTGTCCATAATAGCAATTATAAATTCTAAAAAAAAACAAACATTATTTCTATTTCTTCTCCTAGGTGGTGTTCTATGACTTTCCTATGTTTCCATAGTTTGCAAATCGGCTCTTTCAATGCGTTAACTATTCTACGGTTTATTTTCCTTCTAGTCTGCCTCCAACACATATTTTTGGGGTTTTCAATTTACATGTGATTATTGTTGTTTTTAAAATAGTGTTCTAAATGATCTGATGATGTAAGTACATTCTTACACATTTGTAATTCCATAGATGCCCATGGTGATAAAAAAATCAATTCAATGAAGGTTACAGTAACTTAGGTACCAGTCAATCCTTAAAAATGTTAGGCCTAACTTAATTGCGAAAAAAACTGGAAATAGGCCTAGGCCTTTGCCGATTGATATTACATGATTTATTTATAGTTCAACAATAGTAGCCTATTAAACCCTTTTGAATATAGGTTACCAAAGTCTTAATTATGGTTGAGGTAATTTAAAGCGACCAACTACCGCATTACCCTGTAAAAACATTGGCCTATTCTTTAAAAAAACTAACCTGGAACTCCTTCAGGGAAAATTAATTTTGTTATATTTTTAATCTCAGCATCCATTTAGACGTTTCTGTTACAAAAAATGTCACAAGTATGAAATCTATTAGTTTTACATTTACATAAAATATGATTGTTAAGTTATACTTATAGTTACACCTAAACTTCACAAAATTGTTTAATACAATACAAGTTTGGTTATGTTTGTTTCATTTCATTTGTTGACGTATTATGTTCATGTTGGGTTGGGTTGGGGCAAAAAAACATTCACAGCAGTGCACAACACAGCTGACCAACTGAGGGAGGGCCCTTTTTAATCCGTTCCATGACTAAAAGCATTGACTATTATAGCCCGTATAATACGGGGATAGCCGGACAGCTCACTTTACTCTACAAAATGATATGATTATAAAAAGTATCATAGATTAAACATACTGCTCAAGGATTACTGTTGAAGTTACAATCTATGATATTAAATATAATAGAAGGTTCACTTGCAGTACATCGAAATTATAAAATAAATGAAGAGGGTTCACTTACTCTACAGATCATAGTGCCTATGAACCTCGTGTCTTATATTTAAAAACTAGCAGAGTACCCGTTCTTCGTACGGGGTTGGCACATAAGTATAAAATGCTTATTGCAGTTATACTCGATCTTTGCGCTTGCAATGTGAGAAGACACGGTTTGAAAAAATTTGCTTCCTCAAATTTACGGTATGCTATCGTATGCTATAGTATTACACATCTACCATAGCCATTATGTTCTACCACTTCACCTACACAATAATGAAAGAGATTATTAAAAATTCGCAAAATATATCAAATTATTCGTGAAAAAAAATAATAAACATTGCTGTAAACAATCCTACTTTTACAGTTTTCATTGCGTATCACAGTTATTTGTTGCTGCTGCTGCTTAGTTCAAATTAGTGTTTCATAAATAATGTAAAAATAATAATGCTGCACCCTGTTGGTAAATCTTATAACTTTTTAATGCTTTTGCATATCATACAACCAACTCTTTTAGTTTAAACAGCTGGCTAAATTTTTTAATTCCCTTTAAATATGAATACTCATATAAGGTTAACATGGGGAACTGCAGAGCCACTGGGGCGGAGCCCGAAAGGATTTTTGAAATAAGAATATGCCTATATGTTAATCGGGAATGTGAGCTATCATCATGCCAAATTTCAGCCCAATCCGACCAGTATTTTTCACGTTTACTTGTCACAAACATACATACATCCATACATCCAAACTTTTTCATTTATAATATTAGTAGGATACAGTAGGAAGGTTCACTTACTCTACAGATCATAGTGACTATGAGCCCCGAGCCTGCGGTAAAATATTAGATGGCTCACTTACACTACAGCTCATTTAGCAACACGTTGCGCGGTAGCTAAATGAACTGTAGTGTAAGTGAGCCGTCTTTATTCCTGAATTAAAAAATAATTCATACTCTCGGCTCATAGGCACTACGATCTGTAGAGTAAGTCAACCTTCCTACTGTATTTTTAAATATAAGTCAAAGATATAAGCATAGACTAACCAACACAAGTAGACTTCTCATCCCATTGTAAATTTTGAAGCACGTTTTTCGTGTCTAGTTCATGTACGTGACACAAAGGCGCTAGTGTCGATGAAACTTTGTTTCCATTATTTTAGGGTTAATTTCTTGATTTGTGCTTTACTGTTTGGTTATATAACTAGGGGACAAGTTATTGTTTATGATTAGATCGTATTATTTGGTCAAACGAGGTTTTAAATGGCTGTAATAACGGGAAACAAATTGTAAACAAAACACGACCTCTACATAAACCGTACATGAACTAACAATAAAATTGTCTTCAGCTGTTCCATAAGGATGAGAAATCTACTAAGGGAGTATGTTTTATCTATGATATAAGTATGATATAAGACACGAGGCTCATAGGCACTATGATCTGTAGAGTAAGTGAACCTTCAATATTATTTACGAGGCTCGTATAGACTATGATCTGTAGAGTAAGTGAGCCATGTGTTTTAAGATTAATTACACATTTGGAGGCTCATAGTGCCTATGATTTGTAGTGAACCCTAAACCTCCCTAAACCGACTATACACCTCAACAGGTGTATGCCACGAGTAATGCTACGAGTAACCTTTTCTCCGAAATGTTTCAAAGCCGTACAAACCTAAAAGTGAAAGTCTTCATAGCTCCGAATAACATTTAATCGGAAATAGTGTCAAAGAATTTCAATTCCTATTGCCTCTAAAACTCATCTCAACTCAAATGTTTGTATTCTTGATTTTGACAGTTACAAATTAATAGCATAATAGCGTCAACAAAAATGTCTCTTAAAACAACCTGACTAAAACAACCTGTTCTTTCTTCTTCAGCACCGTCCTTTTAGGGTGGAGCGAGTGGAGCGGCCGCTTCAAGACTTAATTACTATCGCTAATAATAAGTTAAAGGTTTGGAATTAAAATAATGAAATAAAGGACAGACAGACAGATGCATGTGCCTCAAATATGTCTTATTTATTATGAACTATTTCCATTATTGTATTGATTTAATAAAAACATACGAACGACATTTAAAACACAAAAGAATACAAAACATCGTTTGACGCGCGTCGGTGGCGGGATGACGGAACCCGAGCCTCGTGGCAGCCGCCCCGGTGAGTGTGAGTGAGTCGTACTTATGCTTACTCTTACCATCTATCTATCTATATATATAATACGCTAAGCCGATTTTTGTAAACAGAACTCCTCCCTCATTTTTGGACCGATTTTGATGATTAAAGTGTCAAATGAATGGCCCTGATCTGTAGTTTTGCAAAGTCTTTTTCGTTTTTTGAAATCTTTATTAGTTTGGGCAGGATCCTCCACCAAAGTTGGATTTTCTCCCATAAGATTAACATGGAAGAATCCAAATATTTAATTGGAATCTTTGTCTCCATGAATTTGAGAGAACGACTGGGCGTAGAAACTTGGTAGAGGTGTCCAAAGAAAGGTCTTGGTCCCTAGATGAGTTACCAAAAGAAAAACTAAGTGAATCCCGTTAGGGCTCTGCCCCAGAAGCCCTTAAAGATCCCGCCACAGATTTGTTTACATTTTGTCCATGTGGATAATACCATAGACTAAGCAACGTTTTATCTATGACTAGCTGTTGTACCCGTGCTTTGCAACGGGAAGAGGACACAAAAAAGAATCATTTTAATCTTTACCAAAAGACAGAAACTTCAGAGCTGTGACGAGGTATTTATATTATATTATAAAAAAATAAATAATCTTTACTTCTGTTGCATATAATAGTTACACATCTGCCAGGATTTTAGAAACAAAATTCAACTTTTATGGCCTTAATAGAAACGTTTAAGTTATGACTTTTAAATCTGATAAGTAGTAGATACCACCATTTTGGTTTTGATTAATTTTAAATCTTGTGTAGGCTGATATGAGATAAACTTACCAAATCTTCGAAAAAAACGTTTACTTACATGATTTACCTTCATCTCCCTTAATTACATATCTTTTTTCTCAATTTTTGACATTTTAAATTTCAATTTTGACGTTGCAAAAATACTAATTATTAAATTTAAATGAACTGTTTTTTTAATTTACTCTTCTTCATATTAGATCACAAATTCTTCCATCTTGTGGTTTCTTCACTCACAATAAATCATTAGCAAAAAATATCAGCTGTTATAAACTTTAGAAATATTGGTGTGCCTTATCAATAGTATTTCGAAATTTTAAAGAAACTATATCTATACTATAAAAAATGTCAAACAAATAATTAAGCATTAGACAGCAGACAAAACTAATATGATTATCAAAGCATCGAGGACTAAATAATGTAATAGCAAATACAGTATATGTTTCATTGCATCTCTGATTCTACTCTACAAAAATATCAACCCACAACTTATTATACAAAACCAGCAGTTCTTTTAATCAGTTCCATCTTCCATTGACTTTACATTTTCACAACTTACCTTTAAGTAAACATAGTAACATATATTTCATTGATTATAGATACAAAAAACACTATATACTGCTTAGTTTTATGATATTTTCCTTGGTTTAATTTAATCAGTGGTGTGGCAAAACAAAAAATATAAATTTATCAAATAAAGTAAATATGAACTGAAAGCTATGTTAAGATAAAATAAGAGTAGTTTGTATCACCATTTGATAATTAAATGTGGTTACACATATGCAACAGGTTTTAGAACACAAAAATCTATGCACAATTTATGTATTGATGATATTCTTTAGTTTAATTTAAGCATAGGTTTAGCGAAATACAATTACTAAATTTACCTAAATATACATGTAAAAAAACAATAAGATGTGCAGGTTATGTTAAGTTAATCTAAGACATGTTAAGCAGTTCAATTTTTTTTCAAGTAGCCTCCAAATTCATACAAACCATCTATAGATTGCAATTTTCCTACTGTTTCCATGAAAATATATCAATAACATTATTTTCATAACACTTAAGACACTTTAAAAATCGAAAGCAGAGCCTGAGTTGATACAGCAACGCTTTTAGAATATTTTTTTATTTCTATAATCATTGACATAGTTTTACAATAAATAATCCACGATAAAAGGTTTGATTAAAATAAACCTACCTCATAGTTATGGAAAATATTATATTTAATTTTGTTGGATCAGCTGTCTTCAATTATGAAATATGCAATTTGGCAGTTCTTCTTGTTTACATTGAAATGTCAAAGCAAATGTAAACATTGTGAGTATTCTCATTGCAGCCATGGACACCAATCAATATTTACTTTGAATATCCTCACCTCAGAAACTTTAAAGCCAAAGGGGCAAAGCCCACGGTCAGTATCGTAGTGTGAATAGTCCTATAATGGTCCTTGGTATGGTAGCTATATTTTTGTAAAATTTAAGCCCAGTTGGTTCAGTAGTTTTTGCACCTATTAGTAATACACATACAGACACCATTAGATTTTTATATAATAGTATAGATAATACTTTTAAATGAAACAGCTGTTAATTTAAAATTGTATTTTAAACAACACACATTTATTGGGAGTTACTGAATTGTCCAAAAGAAGTATTTGCAATGTTATTTTCTGATTTTAAAATTGATTTTCTTCTGTATCATGTCATATTTTGCAATATAACGTTCCTATGAAATCAGTGGAAAATCCTTTTATCACAGTAACTGTTATTTAACAATTATTTCTTATTGAACTATCTTATATCTATTGTACGGGTTGGTGTCTGTCTTTTTCACCACTTTTGGCTATATTTTATCATACTATGAGATTATTGCCATACATGTTTTAAATCATTGGAAAAATCTTCGATTGTGTAATAAAATGCAAAATAATACAAGTGCAGAAGTGTCTTATAAGCTTCAACATCCCCCCAACCGATTTCCCAAAACTATGCTTGATGGTTATTTATTGGCACAGAAGTACGATATGAACTGACGTGACATGACGAAGGAAAAATCAAACTTGCACTGCAACGGATGGACCTCCCTTTTAAAGTTAGAACGTGTCTTTTCTATAAACAGATATTTTTCTCAAATAAAATCATAGATTAATCTTTATTAGACAGATGAAATCGCGGAAGTTTTAACTACAAAAGATCCACCAATATGATTTTAATACTATCTAAAGGTTCTTCTAAAAGAAGATGTACCAGTTAACATACTAATAATAACTCCGATGATGTACAGTATGGGAAATATTTTATTCATTGAATGATCAACCATATTTGGCAACTAACGCAATTAATATCATTATTGTTTTTACACTTATTACTCTTTAAACAATGCTAAATGCTCAAAATATGTATAATTTCACTCAATTTGTCGCAGTTATATCAGTTGCAAGCCTTGAAAGTAACCGTCGATTTCGACGGGTTTCACCTAGTTGACTAGTTGTGGTATATGTCAATGCTCTTACTGAAACCTGGCGGCGCGCCAGCACCACGCAGCCACAGCACCATGGCACCACCGACGAGCCTGTAATTTGGTGGGGGTTGGTAGGGGGATCATGTCACGTGATCGCCTTCCTACAGATGTAAATATTTACTTTATGGATAATCAGAGAAGACTGACTGTAACTAGTCGCAATAAACATAAGCCTATGGCAATGATTTGTCATTAAAATAATACTGTGAATCAATTCCACAATTTGTAATGATACTACCTCTTTTAATTTATTAAAAACTTATTGCCAATTATACTATACATAATATTTTTTACCTTTAAAACTCCCTTCACAGACCAACTGCCGAAAACACAATAAACCCAACTTAACAAAAAGTAAATAAACAAGATAGCCTAAACCCTAGTGGAGAATGTTCATTTTTTTTATTAATGATTGTAAAGAATTTCGTGTGCAATATTTATGATATCCACTTTGGAATTGGAACAATAATAGTGCAATTAGCAATAATATTCACGCCGATTTTTAGAGTGTAAAAGATTCATTTGTTTCGTCAAAGTTCTTAAAATGACGACTTTGCAAGTATAATTTTACAAAAATTTCCGGGGCAGGACCCCCGGACCCCCCTTTCCGCGGGGATACTCCATACACTCCAGACCCCCCGGTGTGCGTAGGTAAACAAGACCTCGCAATCATGTATTTCCCCAGGCCTCGAATTTTATAAAGACGGCTCTGAATTCTTCTTATCGACAAAATCTGTAAACCAAAGATCCGTTGTTATTATAATATAATCCACTACATCTTACATAGTTTTCGACGCTGTAGCAACCACAGCAACAGTGTGACGATTTGACAAAAGAAGGTAAGTCATAATCCCATTACCAAATTTGTCCACATTGGTTTCCATATTTTCAGAGGAGCATTAAACAGTTTAATGCCATTGTAATATAAATGATTTTCAAAAAAGCAGTTTTGTGTTTTGGGATGCCCATTCTAGGATCGAATCGGATTCTCAAACCACAGGAGATAGAGTTAGAGATTAAAAGGTCAAAACTTTTCAAAAGGTCAAATACCAATACCACAGTTCAAAAGGCCCATGGACATTGGACAAGAAAGTAAGAATTTTATTGTTAACTAAAAAGTGTTTGAAAAGGAAAATTGACGATGCTTCTTAAAACAATTCTGGTGGCTTTCTTTTGTAATTTACCCGTACCTACTAATTTCATCTGCGATATCAAAACGTAGTCTAAGTAAAAAAACCAACGACTATTTGGATCCATAACTACAAATGCATGAGTTTTAGGGGCTTGAAGGCATTGTGTATTGGCAAAAATTAATGAAATTATAAACAACAACAGTAAGTTAAGTTACAAAGTAAATAGAAAATATAGGACCGTGTCGTAGTTTGTGTCAAGTGTGGTTGATCAAAAATTGCTGCACTTTTAAAACACGGTGAAATTTTCAATGTTATTGCACTTGCTAAAATCCATACTAAAAGAAGAGCGGGTTATTGGCTTTGGAGTTATGGCGTTATTGCGGGGTAGCGGATTTTTATCCCCCTGGAATTTTACCCCCTGGGCAAACGTGACGTCACAAGCCAGGGGGTAAAATTCCGACCGCGAACTTTTGAGTTTCGTGACATCAAGTCGATGGATTAAACGCTGAATTAAACATATATTTTTACGGTTGTGAGTTTAATCAGAACACATCAAATTATAAAAACCTAGAATGTACGGCCCGGATTTTTACCCCCGGAATTTTACCCCCGGATTTTTACCCCCCGGATTTTTACCCCCAGAATTTTACCCCCTGGCCAGATTTATAAATTAGTGAGAATGATTAATTATCGTCATTCAGTTTTTAATTTAATGGTAAACATTTTATCATTAAGTAGCCTATCTTAATTTATATATAACATTAACTAATCGAACAGGGTTTTAATATTAATTTTGAGATTCGAGTGTCAGGATTCGATCTTTGAAGCCAACTGTTGGTTAATATGATTAAAATAAAACAGCGAATCCTGTTTCTTAGTTGAGATTACAAAATAAATAAATAAAGATAGGCTACTAAATAATGAAATTTTTACAATTAATTAAAAACAGAAATAAGAAAGTTAATCATTCAAGAGCGTTAAACTAACTCAAGAGGCAATCAGGCAATGCGGGGAGAGTGAGTGCAAAAACAAGGTGACAAAGGTGTAAATCTTTCACCCTTAATAACCGATCATTACATGTTCGTATTTTAAAAGTGTCAACTAGTCTACTAAATGGTTTTAACAATTAACTAATTCTAATATTAAAATCAGCCAGGGGGTAAAATTCCGGGGGGTAAAAATCCGGGGGTAAAATTCCGGGGGCAAAATTCCGGGGGTAAAAATCCGGCCCGTACATCTTCAGTTGTCTAAACGCTAGTTATATGGACATTATGGACAGGGGGTAAAATTCCGGTTTTTATCGCTAGTCTAATTAATCACGCTCTGACTATTATTATTAGCCTTACAAATCCGCGGGGGTAAAATTCCGGCCGCGAACAAACTTTTGGCCACTCAGGTTACTACGTCATAGTGACGTCAGCTTTGCCCGGGGGTAAAATTCCAGGGGGATAAAATTCCGGCGACCCGTTATTGCAAACACAGAGGATACGCGTCCGGTAACCAGACGTGGATTAGGCGTCCGGTAACCAGACGTGGATTAGGCGTCCGGTAGGGGGTCCCGGAACGCCATTACCACAATGATACGTTACTCAGCCATCAGTGTTCGTGGTGCAGTGGATAGAGTTCTCGGCTGATATGCGAGAGGTCCCCGGTTCGAAACCCATCGGTATCTTTAACTTTTTGTCACAGATTTTGCTTTCAATGTAATTTCTTCTTAACTGTACATCTTTTGTTAGAATTTTCGGCATTTATAATTTTATGTTATGAAGAGAATTGAACCTTCATTTGATTTTTTTCACTATCAGCAAGTTTGGTTGGTTAGGTTAGGTTATGACAGTAACTGCCGGACGCCTAATCCACGTCCGGTTACCGGTCGCGTATCCTCTGCGTATTGCAAAATATTGTGGTTTTAGTTCGCCGATTCGCCTGTGTGCGCGCTTGCGCTTGAGTCTTGAGTCGCAGCACATTCCATGACAACATCACGTGACTTCCGGCGAGCAGCTGCTGAACAGATCGGAGTTGGAGGGGGCAATACAAACCAGTCTTTGTTGTTTAGTTTTGCTCTTTTTCTTTTCTTCAGTCAGTCAGTCAGTTCAGTTCAAAGCTTCTGCTAGGTTGTCGTCTGGTCTGTGCCTGCTTTTGCTTAGCGTTTGTTTATGTTTTTCTCAGTGGTAAACCGTTTTCTGTTTGAAAAACTTGTGTTGTGGAACGTGGAAGCTCCTTAGTTAGATTTTTAAAAAGTTCAAAATTTCGGTTGCTAGGTTATCCGCGCCAACAACAGAATGTCAGTTTGACATTTTACTTCTCATTTTTGTTTAAGTTTATGAATTTCTTAAAACTTTGTGCAAAGTAATTGTGTTAAACTTATTGTGGTTAAAAAGGGTTTGCAAAATTGGAAAATTTCGTTCAGCCCGTAAATTAACATTGGCCCTAGTGTTACTTGTGTTAATGTGAGTGCTATGCCTACAAGGCTGTTTTCTTGGTGAAGTTGGATTTGAAGGCATAACCCTGTTTTGTGTGCAGAAGCAGCGGGATTCTTCCGAACCAGTTGATGGGGTGAGTTTATGAATTTGTTTACAAACTTGGCTTCTTAAATCGATCTTGACTATGGTTAGGCAAATCTTAGTTAATCTTATAAATATCAGAGTTAAAACGTCTATTTAACAAGTGTTTAAGTTAACAACTATTGTTATCTTATAGGACTAACTTAAAATGTATAAGTTAGGGTGTAAATTGTTTAACCCTAAATAAAGTAATCTTGTATCTTAGGGTGTAAATTTTTTACCAGAAAACGTAGGCCCTACCTATTGCAAATAATTCATAAAGACCCATAAAAAACAGTAAAAACTGTGACTAGGCTTAATTGGTTTGATAAGTTAAGTTTATTACCTGTAATCAGTAGGCGGCTGGACTTTACTTGACGTCCTACACTCATTCGAATGAAAATATGGTATCGATCGATATATCGAATAATCGATTGCTTCATTCGATATATCGTTTGGTTAGTTAGGTAAGGTTAACCTAACCTAACTAACCAAACGATATATCGAATGAAACAATCGAATGAGTGTAGGACGTCCCAGTGTGCAGCCCAGTAGGGCTATAAGTTAACTTAACTTATGGTACCCAAGTCTTGGAAATAAAAAAACTTCCAAATTAAGTTTCATTTTGGAACTGATTACAGGTATGGTATAATAAAACCAATTACGAAAACCTGTGCTTTCAATGATCATGTTTCTGTTACAACAAATGGTACTTTCCTGTTAAAGGGATTCATTATTATCGATGATTTTAAATCGATATATCGATAGTTTTATTTCCCTTTACGATCCATTACAAATTGACAACTGATCTTGTTTAGACTCAAATCTGGTCTATTATGGATTAAAACTGTTGTAAGCTAACCTAACAAATCAAATCAAATCAAAGCTTTATTTTCCAATAGACATTACAAATGCATGTGGAATGGTCAATGAAGGTATTATGTTGGTAAACATTTGTCAAGGAAGAGTACAATAGATGTAGAGTACAAGGTCAAATCAAAAGATACAAAAATAATATAAAATGCATGCAGATGAGGATAAGGAACTATAAGAGAAAAAAAGTACAATCATTACTCAATATGTAATGGTTTAGGAAGTTCTAAAAAATCTTTAAGTTTGTAGACCGGGTTCTTTACTAGCCACATATGAATTTTTGCTTTAAAAACTTTGTAAGGAAGTGATAGCAATTTGTTGGGCAATTTATTTAGACATTTTAGGCCCAGAATCTTATGACTTTTCTTTGTTTTGCTCAATCTAACATGGGGTATATCAAATTGATGTCTGTTTCTGGTTTGAAAATCATGAAAATCACTCCTTATAGCATGTGAGTCCATTTCCTTAAAACTAGTTAACATGATATTACATATAGGCTATATAAATTAATAACGGTTAAAATGTTAAATTCAATAATAATGGGGCAACAATGTTCCTCAGGACCAACCCTAGCATAACATAACCAACCAAACTTGCTGTACAATTTTTAAAATTCTGTTTGATTACGGCACAGAAAAGGTATGTGGGGAATATTAACTTAAACGGAATTTTTAAATGTTAAAAACAGCAAGTTTGGTTAGTTTTGTTAGGTTGGTTTGGAACAGTTTCATTTCAATATTTTTTTTATACTAAGTTATATTTATTTATCGTAGTCGTCAGCTTAAAGGTTTCAATTCGTTGATATCGGTAGAATCGATTGAAAATCATCGATAATAATGAATGTTCCCTTTAACAGGAAAGTACATACCCAACAGATCATGAACTTGAGCACCCTAATAACTTAAAATGTTTTGAAAATTATTAATTTTGCTATTTAGATAGTTTCTTCAACGTAGTCCCTAGTTTGAAAATTCACTATCAATATTATATATTTGAATCGTACATTTTTATATCTAAATGCAGGGACTTTCTTGGCAAGGCTGTGTTCTGTTAATAGTAGTCTATTTGTATTGTGATTCTTGTATTTCAGTAAATATTTATTATCTATGCTATTTGTATAAGTATTTATTGTAAAATGTTATTTATTGTAAGTGTTATTTATTGTAAATGTTATTTATTGAAATGTTATTTATTGTAAATGTTATGTACGGTATTCTTTTTGAATCATTAGGCAGAATTCTTTATTATCAAATGCATGTATTTTTAAGGCCAGAGCTAATGATACATTATTGTTATGAATATTGTTTCCATCTTGTTTTTTTGTTGCATGAATGTAAAAATGGAGTTGTCCGTTGGTATGTAAAATAAAATAAGTAAATAACTTAAGGCCTCAAATTTGGCGGAGTGCCCATAGAGATGGCACATCAATGTCAGTTTTTAAGTTTATTAGCACCCTGGTTTGTGCAGTGTTTTTAGTCCGTTTGGGAACTGTATAAGTCAATAACAGCGAGTCTCACGGAATTAGGCTAGAATTTTAATTCTGTGGTCGCTGGTCAATAAATAAGTTTAGCTTAGCAGATGCTTCATCAAGTATGGTGGCCAACCTTAGCTCCACGGTACCAACACCATTAAGTCTAATAGCCATTGAGTAGCCCAAATAAGTCAAAAGTTACAAAGTAAATTCTTTTACAGCATGTACCTTTAGGCTTTAGATCAAACCAATGGTTTTTTTTTAAACATGAAGATTTATTAATTTTCTATCACTAAATAAATATGAACACCAATGTACCGGTACTGTATTACAATGAATTAGTTGGAAGAAATTAAATTGTTAAATTCGTTTCTCTGATTAGCAAATAATACTTATCCAACTCTATCATCATTGACTACCCCATTGGTACATTGTCAATGATCATATCCTATTTACAAATAATATCGATGTGCAAAACATCGATACCTACTGTAATTTCAATTGTACTGATCTACTTTTTGATAATCGTAATTATGAAAAATTTAAGTCGTACTCCTACATCAAAGTTCTAGCCTCTGATTGTTCTACAGTACTACTTAAATAGCCATCTTGTAGGCTGGATTCCAAGGGGTTAAAATGCTTACCTATTTTTAAAATTCAATTTAATATTAAGGTTGAGTATTTACAGGAAAAGTCTTCTCTTTAAATTCTGTGCTATAGCCGATGCATTTATCAGCCCACACACTAATATACCTGGAACTGCAAGCCCTTCATGCTTGTAGTACTGTATTGACTCTACAGTTCTTGCCCTCTCCCCAGCTTTTATGAGGCAATAAAACGTGATCCTGCTTATATTGGCTCACAGGGTGTCACCCCTCTGAGGATATTACTAGGATTGGCTCAAGCACAGTCTGATCAAAGAAGAAAAGCAATTTAGTAACACCACTTCCCCTGAGCAAAACGTATGACTTTAAAGAAAGAAAGGCTACTGTATGTTAACTTTTGTAACCCGTTGTTATATTTGAGTAAAGTGTAAGAAAAGTCATAAATATGAGAAATGTCAAGATTTTACACCCTAGTCAGTCAATGTTCTAGCATTTTAGGCCAGGGTTAAATCACGATTACTAGAAAAATATTTTTCTAGTAATCGTGGGTTAAATAAAGTTAAAAATGGTTAAAACCAGTTTATTTCTTAACCAAGATGAGAACATTGTTTTCTATCAATAAGTCAAAAATAAGTTTAATTTTTGTATCGTGATATCTGGATTATCAGTGTTGAATCACTCAATTAATTGTTTCAATGTTTGTTAATAATAGTTTCGTTTGGAAGTCTCGTCGTTTTCTGTGGGAAATTGAAGTGTAAACAAACACCTCGACACGATGGACAATAGAAAACAATCAGAAGATATACGTTTCTCCTGTCAATAATTGTAATTGTTCGCCAAGGTTTATTTACGTAATGCATTTCATTCTCAGGATTCCATAAAGCCGGCCCCAGACATGCACCATTCGCAAAGCCCGAAATATTTCACGTTTGGCGATCTATATAGGTAGTTAGTTGTCACGAATACTAGAAAAATACTGGTATGGATCATAAACATAAACAAATGACGTTTTTGGCCCGAAAATGGAACTGCCAAAACATATGTTCAATGCTATTGGGTAGTTGTATTGCAATTCGCCGATTAACGAGTAGACCACACATGTGTAGTTTTTCGAGCAACTGTTCGTTTCGGGAATAGCATAAATATTAGTTAACTTTGTGTGTGCTAAAATACCGACAATGAACGGGAAAACACGAGCACGAACATTTGCTGCTTGCCAAATTAGACAAACACCTATCCACACCACTGCTCGGTGTTGGGCGATTGGCGAATTCCGTCTGGAGAAGAATAACTTAAAACAAAACAACACTGGTTGCACATACTACTTGCCTGTTTTGCATGTATGCAAATAATCCTCGCTGATTATCTCATATTTTTGTCCTTTGCCTCTTCATGTGTTTCAGTTGATGCGTGATACATTTTTAAGCAGGCTTTCGCTGGATGTTTTCTGTTCTTTAGTTTTTATAAGAATCAATTATTAATGTAGTGTACCAGTATCGGTAGTATGTTTTTATTGTTGGACTGTTGACTTTTGTTCCTAGAATATTATTCCAAGTTTACAAAGACAAGATTGATTGCGTAGGCTAATTTGCTTAAAGATTAATAAATGTCTTATGTCTTGTATTTTTCTAGTAATCGTGTCTTATTTTAATGGACATGACCTTAGGTGCCTTCACTGCACCTAAGGTTTTGCAGAACTTATTAGGCCTAACTTATTACCCGTACTGTGGTATTGACTTTCATAGCCCATCGCATTTAGCAAAGCCAGTATAAGTTACAAAATGATGAGTTTCAAATTGCAACACAAGAATACTGCCGCTATTTACTTTTTTATCGAAACACATAGCTTGGAATCTTTGCCGACAGTTGTTTGTAATGGTGGAATGCAGCGCGGCGGGTGCACAAAACCCCTCATGGGGATCAGGCGGTAGGACAAGGGTGGAGAGGGGTGACAATGGAATGTCGTCCGGGATTCCGGGCCGGAGATCTGGGCATCTCAACTTTGCCCTTGCACTGTCGGCTCCTGAAACTGTGTAAACGCTGAAGTAGTCTAGTGCACAGCCA